AGATAGATAGATAGATAGATAGATAGATAGATAGATAGATAGATAGATAGATAGACCGAGTTTGTATCTCTTGGAACACCTCTAATCTTCGGCACGACTTATATGGCCTAATTGTTTTGCAATTAAAACTCTTACTAAAACAACCACACTTCGCAGACGACCAAGTTGCAACATTTTTATTCTTCTTCTTCTTCTTCTTCTTTGTATCGTGCGTGGGGTTTTGTGGGTGTCATTTTACTTAGCCTCCAGTTTCGCCACTAGAAACAATAATACATGTAACAGTGGGGACGACGGAAGGGTATATTTGGTCGCTTTTAAGGACAAGCGGGCTAACCCAGATTTCGGGGGTTTCCAGAAATCTTGACCTAGACCAAAAGTAGGCATTATCCTACCTGTAAGAGAAGTTTGGTTTCATTGGCGTGTATATTTGTTTGGATATAGAGAAAGCTCTCATTTTCTTTGAAAGAAAATGAACAAAGGGACAAAAACTTTACCTTCGATTTTCTCAAAACAGCATTTTTTCGGGATAGTCCCCTTGTGCTTAACAAGGTATCCGTACGCCTGGGGTCATTTTGTAACCCTAGGGTTGTATTCTTCCCATTTTAGAATACTTCTAGTACAAAGATCTCTTTGAAATTTTCAGTATTTCTCTAAAAATCATTTTGACAGACTGCTCTGCAAAGCGTACAGAAAGGATTAACGAGTAAATATCCTCTTTGAAAAGTGGTGGCACAGAGTTCCCCACGTCGTATGGATACGATAGTAAAACACGACGTACGGATAGGGTTAAAAGCGACGTTATCTATCCCCAGATCCCCATCACACTGTTGGTCATGACTCAGCTACTGGGGGACCTGGAGACTCACATCGTTGCTGTGGAGAGAATAAGAGAGTACTCCAAGCTGAAACCTGAGGTGAGCGGACCGTCTGTCTGTCTAGAGATTATTATTGTCTGTCTGTAGAGAGATGTTTATTGTCTGTCTGTCTGTCTGTCTGTCTAGATATTTTTATTGTCTGTCTGTAGAGAGAAGTCTATTGTCTGACTGTTCAGAGATTTCTATTGTTTGTCTGTCTAGAGATTTTTATTGTCTATCTGAAGAGAGATTTTTTATTGTCTGTCTGCCTGTCTGTCTGTCTGTTGTGTCGAGAGATGTTTATTGTCTGTCTGTCTGTCTGTCTGTCTGTTGTGTGGAGAGATTTCTATTGACTGACAGTCTGTCTGTCTGTCTGT